GCATCAGATTGCACAGGTTGAGAGCTCAGTCCCACAGGACACCCCCCTTCCCCTTCAGGTGCCAGTCACTTGCAGACCCATGTCATCTATCACTTGTGCTTCTGACTGGCTAGAGCTTAGAGGTTCCCGAAACCCCGTNGGTGGCCGGTTGGCTCAGGTGGTTGGAGCGCGGGCTCATGGCGCCAAGGTTGCTGGCTTGATCCCCACGTGGGCCGGTGAGCTGTGCCCTCCACAGCTAGAATGAAGACAAATACTTGACTTGGAGCTGCTGGGTCCTGGAGAAACACACTGTTCCCCAATAAAATCCTTTCAAAGTGTTCTAAAAAAAACCATAATAATGAGTTGGCCAAGTGGCTCATTGGATGAGTTGGCTTGGGACGCCAGCTCTGAGCAGCAGGGCTGCCGGTTCGGATATCACATGTGGGCCAGTGACGCTGCACCTTCTATAGCTAAGATGGTGAACAACAGCTTGATCTGGAGCTGGGCTGCCGTGAGGCGACGGCGACGGTGTAGGCTGCAGTGGGGCTGCAGCGGGTTGCCGTGAGCTACCGTGAGTGGCCGGCAGCCAGCGTGAGTGGCCGGCAGCTGGTGTAAGCGGCCATCCAATGGCTGGCGACCGACTGCCTCAGCCAGGAAGAGCACAATAATCACAATACCAACATGGGCCAGTGAAGCGATGTCCTCTACAACTAGACTGAAGAACAAAAGGACAGCAACTTGTCTGTTCCCCTCCCCGATCCCCCAATGCTGTTCCCTCCCCCAGTTCCCCAATAAAATCTTTAAAAAGAAAACCATAATAGGTCCATCTTTTATTAGGGTGAGTTATTTACATGACTTATTATATGGTTTGGTACTCGGGGGCAACTGGACATGGATTCAAGTCCTGACTGACGACTCACGAGGTCTGTGCACTTGGACTTCTTACAGCCTTAGCTGCCTCATCTCCAAGATGGAGATACCTCCCAGCACCCAGAGTTGGAAAAATTTAATAAAAGCATACTAATGAAGCATTTAGCCTGTTTTCTGGAGCGTGCCTGATAATTAAAAGATAGTAAGTGGTATAAAAGGAATAAGGTACAACCTGGGCAGAGAAGACTGGCAAGGGGGCACGGAGACCAGGAAATTAAAAAAAAAATGTTTAGCATGATTAGCACGAAGCAGCGTCTCCATAAAGGTTAGTTTCTCATCTTTCTTCCAAGATTAAGTTCCTTGAATGCAAAGACTTGGCTACTTCTCTTTAAGCGTGCTGAAGTTCAAGCACATTATTTTACATACAGCAGACGCTTGAAAATGAAAGTCAGGGGATGCTTTAATTCAGTAGATTACATTCTGTTTTCCTTTCCTCTGTACTTCAGATGCACTTATGACACATTTTAAGGACTTAGGCTGTTCTGTAATTATTTCAGATTTGTTGGTCTGGTCTCCCCAAATAGATAGCAAGATTCCCGGGGATGAAAATACTATTGTCTACATTCTACTCTCTGAGTACTCAGCCGATGAACTCAACTAGTTCATTTCTAAGTGAAATGGATGCAGACTTTTGGCTGAGACCTGACCACCCCCTGTGAGCACTGAACCCTAATAAGTNGAAGAGCGCAATGATGGTGCCAACTTGGGCCAGTGAAGCAACGTCCTCCACAACAAGACTGAAGAACAAAACGACAGCAACTTGTCTGTTCCCCTCCCCCAATTCCCCAGCACTGTTCCCAACCCCCCAGTTCCCCAATAAAAATCTTTAAAAAAAGTTGTTTTTAAAGTTTTGTGTCTGTTCTCTATTTGGGGTTATTTTTACTTTTTAGCTACTTCTTCAGTCAACTCTTGGCTCACGGATCTTCCACCTGTCTTTGTTCATTTAGCGTTCAATATGATCCATTTCTGCTTTCACCGTATCCCACAACTTTTGATGAGAACTATTTTCCTTCGTGTTTAGTTCTAAGTATTTTTACATTTCTGGTACGATTTCTCCTCTGGCCTACGTGTTGTTCACTCAGGAATGTGTTTTAAAATCTCCAAATGTATGGAGATTTGTGTTCATTCACCCTTTGGTTACTTGTGTCTAATGTATGTCCCTGGGAAAAGACACCCATCAGAAAAGGAAGCAATGCGAACCCCACAACAATCTTTTCTGGTATTGCTGAACTTACGCCCCCACCCCAAACGACTCTAAAACTGGACAACATATATGAGCTGACCATTTCTGGCACAGACGAAGGAGATAGTAGATAGCAGAGGGCAATTTGCCTGAGCAAAGGAACACACAGCCACTCTCACCTTTGGTCTGGGGCATTTTTCCAACCACAGCAGAGGGCTAGAAGAGTCAGCAGAAAGTCTCTCTGGGCAGAAGAAACACAGATAAGAGTTTCAGTGCTGGGAATTTGTGGGACAAGGGACCAGAGAGGAAGGAGCCACAGAAAAGTTCCAGGTCTTGGGCTGAACCCTAAGCTGCCCGTATGCCAGGTAATTTCTGGGAGGGTCTTCAACAGAAAAGCTGCTGTAGGGGGTGAGGGAGAGGGAGCTGAGAGAGGAACACAGGCCTCAGAGGTCTCATGGTGCTGAGGACTCAATGGAGGCCCAACCCAGCCAGAGGGGAGAGACCTTGGTGAGCACCTGAGGCCCTCTCCTGAGACCCTGGAGAGCCAAGCCTTAGGAAAAAGATTTTTGCCCGAAAACTAAGCCTCAAACTGAACTATACCAATCCCAACAACAACAACAAAAACCCAGCTTGATTAAGATCAAAAGATTGGCTAGTAATTTCATTTTTGCTAGAAAAAAAATTCAACACTAGGGAACATAATACAAAGTCTCTACAATATAACATTCACAATATCCAACATACAATAAAAAATTACTATATTTGTAAAAATGCCTTGACCCATAATCAAGGACGTAAATGTCAACAGAAGCAGAGTCACAAATGAACCAGAAAATGATAGAAATGAGCAGAAAATGATTTTATAACTATCTTAAGTGTGTTAAAGAACATAAAAGAAAAGATAGACACAATGGGTGAAAAGATGGAAGGTTTCAGCAGAGAACCGGAAAAGCAAATAACTAAATGGAAGTTGAAAAACACGCTACCTAAAATGAAAAAACTCATTAGATGGGCTTACTAGCAGATTGGGCATAGCAGAAAAGATTAGAGAATTCCAAGACAGGTCAGTTTGGAAGCGTGGGAAAGGTGTAATGGACACATACTGAGACCAGCTAACAAGGTGATGTGAACATCTTCAACAGCTCCGAGGGCTGGGCTCAACTGGGAGTGGAGTTTTGCAAGATATGACCTAGTGAGTTAAGGGAGTTAAGGACTCCCTTTTTGAATGAAGGTGATTATCACTATGGAATCTCAGCTAAGAAGGGGAGTGAGGGAGTAAAGCAAGTGTTGAATAGTGAAGAAATGGTGGGGGCAGTGGCGTTAGGGTCCCAACGTGTCTAATCATCAGGCTTTTAGAGACTTGCTACTCAAAATGTAGTCCCAGGACCAGCACCACGTGGCACCTGTGCAAATTCTCAGGCCCCGCCCTAGAGGCACTCCATCAGTTTCTCTGTGGGCGGGGCTCAAGCTGTTTAACAAGCTAGTCAGTTGATTCTGATGCTGTTCAACTTTGAGAACCACTCTTCTCGAATAAGAGAGCTGCAAAGAAGGGGGAAAGGGCAGAACGGGATGCTTGAAACGGATATTTTGGAGCCGTTGGGTTATGAGCAATGACAAGGTCTGAGGTATATAGCTAGGGGAATGAGAAACTGACTGAATGGAAGAAAAGATCACTAAAAATACAATGGTCCAAAGAATAAGGGGCCGGACTCTCAGACGGAGCATCCTCATGGACACTGAATTTGAGCGATGATAGGAGAGAAAGACAGGGAACCAGAAACCGAAGTTATCAGTGACTCAAGAGGCATGACCGAGAAAATGATGGTAGATGACTGCTACCAAGGTCAGTAAGTAGCGTAATGTGACAGTCTGCTCTCCAAAGAGCGAGGGTTTAGAGAGAAAGGAAGAAACGTAGTTTGGAACAAGCAAAAGGGGCACCTCTGAGAATTATTGTGGTGATTCCAATCCACCTCTCAGCTTCCCCAGCTCTGGCTGACCCTGTTAACTGCCCGCCAACATGCGCTCTCCCCTTGCTCATTGACAGAACCCCAAGTTTAGCAACAATGTGCCTATTTGAAAAACGACATTTCCCAGCCTCCTTTGCATTTCAGGCCACGAGTTGCCTTTTTCCACAAGAAAACTTGGAGCAGTGGTCAGGGCTTCTGAGAATGCGCCTTTTATGGGGACACAGGCCCTCTACTCTTCGCCGCTCCCCTTCCTCCTGCCTGGAACCCTGACAACATCATGGGGTTCCCACATAACCGTGGACTCCCTGCCTCCTGAATTCTTCTCCGGGAAAGAAAAAGAGCTAACTTGTTTACGTCACCACCGTTCAGATTTCCTCGTGTACGCAGCCAAGTCGATCTCTAACGATTCAGGCCCTAAGTGGGGTCCTCTGCTCCTGGTTCAGCTCTCGCCTGAGGGAAGCTCCTGGGGTTAGTTAGGGGCCTTCCCTTCTCTGCCCGCAACGGCGGCCCCCACCGCGCACTGCCCCCATACCCCACATTTCGGCAATATTTGTCTCCCTGCCGAGAAGGACCAGACTTCGTTCACTTCCGTCCTAACCTCACCCCAGCAGCCAGAACAAGGCTGTGCACACAACAGATACTCATCACCCTACTTTCAACAAGGAGAACCCTCAATTCCCATATCCCAGGTTGGAAAAGCCCCAGCTGAGGAGCCTTTTCCTCCTTGCCAAGAATACGGCCTTCCGTTTACTTACAAACGCCAAGTCTTCTTGCACCTGACCTTGCCCTTGACTGTTCAAGGTCATAAAAGTGGCGTGATTTCATCCAAGCCCCCACCTTCCCCACAGCGAGACCAGACTGGAGGAGGCTGAACAGAAAGACAGGTGGGCCAGGCGAGGGGGCAGAAAGCCACCAGAGCACGGAGAGGTGGGACACAGTACTGGCAGCTCCCGGGGCCTCTCGGCCACGTCAGGGGTCCTCTTCGGAGAACTTCTGTTGGAATTCACGTACAGTTTTCGTTTGTGGAAGAGCCTCCCATTCAGCTCCTGGGTCGCCAGTGCCACTTTCTGCACTGAGCCCAGGTCCGCAAATGCGAAACTGGGGAGACAGGAGAGGGAAGGCTCTGAGCACACGCAGGGGAGAGGGGCGGGGGACCAAGCCCCGCACAGGCAGTCTCCTCTCCCCCTCCCCTGCAGCCACAGAGCCGGCGCTTCCAGATACACAAACAAGTGGGGGGGCAGGGGCTGGCTTGGGCTGGGGGTCTGGGGATCAGAAGCCGTGCACTGACTGTCACTATACACCTTATAGTCCCTGCTTTGGGCTTCTTTCATACAACTCCCCCCGCACCCCACCCAAGTTCAAAGCACTGTTACTGCCTTGAAAATAACAAAGGGAAAATATGAGAAGGTCCAGTTTCCAGAGGTAACCAAAGCTGAGGGAGGTACGGCCACTTACCTCCAGACACAACACAGAACAAGGACATATTATCAAATACAAATCCAGGTCTCTGGACTCCTAACCCAAGGCTGAATGGACACGACAGTATCGGCTGCTGAGTCGGAAGGTTAACCGTGGAAAGGGGGTCTCCCAGATGCCACTTTGCCAAGTCACAGTGGGTGCGGATTTGGGAGCCGATGAGCTGGTCTGCAGCGTCAGCGCTTCAGCAAAACTGATCAAGAGGAAAGGAGCCGTTTCCCCAAGAAAACAAAGCAAGACTCATCCGTACCATTTGCAGCCACTCTGGACTTCATGGACGCGGAGCGGGCCCAAGTCCTTCAGGAGGCTCCGAATATCCTCCTACAATGGGAGGGTTTCAAAAAGAAAGAGACTCGGAGACAACACCGACAGCCAGTTCTCAAGGCTTTAGCTCCCCCACCAGCTAATCTGCGCTCGACTGAACACATACTTAATGAGAGCCTGTTAGGTGCTAGGGGGGCCAGGTTTTGTGCTAAGTGATGCACATACAGAGACCTGAAAGATCCGAGCCTAGCCCTCAACAGAAGCTCAGCAGTCCAGGGGGGCTCCCAACAAGGCAGTCAAGTACACAGAACATCTCGCCTGTGGCGACGAATTCCACACCGAGGAAGTACAGGTAGCTACGGGAGCACACGGTACGGGTATCTCACCCAGATGCCAATGGAAGGGTCAGGGCAGGCTCCCAGGAGAAAGTGGCTTTTAATTCATTAGGAATCTAGGCTGGCTTGCTTTCATCCCTCCCTGGATGAGGAGGCTCGCTTTAACAAACCTACTCTGCGTGGCCGACTCACTCTTGTGTTCGCAGAAGCCTCCGTTTTTCCCAACAGACCTGCGGCATACATGTGCTACAGGCAAGCTTCACGCTGAGCGTCCCAGTAGATATTGATGTGAATTCAACATCAGCCTTGCACTCAAGGGGCTTCTAGTTTAGCGGGATACACACGAGGCTGTCCCTACCCTTGGGGCAGAGTGAAGTCTGAGAGTAAGAAGACATGGGTGGCAGCGCGCTGCGAGTGACATCGATCGGTCTGGTCAGCCTCCCGTGGGCTGCTGACACCCACCGCCTTCTTTGCAAGTCTTCTCTGCCCACTTTCCTCACTGCAGCCTGGCCTCCAGCGCCCAGGGACAGGGTCACCTTCCCCCCTCTCTGGACACTTCTCTGCCCTCAGGCTGCCTCCCGCCCCAGGGGCCCCCAATCCCACCCTCCCCACTCTGCTGGCCAGGACCCCTCCGTCTGTCTTCATCTGTGCACCGCCCACTTTCTTTGAGGCAATGTCTAACCCGGATGCCCTTTGGCGCTACACCCTATTCTTCCTCTTTTCTGCCAAGCTGTGTAGAAAGAGCGGGCCCCACTGTCGCCTCCGTTCCCACTCCGCCCACTCTCTCTTGACCGCCGCAGTTTGGCTTCCGCTCCAGCCCTACAGAAAACGCTTTCTTGAAGGTCAGGCCGCTCTGGCCGACCACCCACCCCATCGGGCAGGCCTCCCTTGGGGCTCCCACCTGCACCTCTCCCCACCGCCTCCTTCCTCAGCTTCCCCAGCTGCACGTTGCAGTTGTAAATCCCACAACCATGATGAACACCCATTTTCCCCTAGAAAACTCTGTCTTGGGAAAACAATGTCGACTGTTCATACAAATCTTCTCACCAGTCTAAAGTCACTTCCTTAGTGGAGGAAAACAAAAATGCATTATGTACACCTCATTTTTCTCAGTCTCCATGTTTACGGTACATTTGAATTCACGTTTTCTAATTGGCTTTCCTTTTCAATGTTTAATGGTTATTACACACGAGTCCACAAGATGCTGCGCAACAAGCCCTTTGTGAGCACAAGCTGAGCATTTCCACTTGACAAAGCACGTTTATCTACCTTACCCCATTTCATCGCTAAACCCAACCTGTGAAATGCACACTATCATTGGCCGCGTCCCCAGAAACAAATTACGGATCAGAGAGGCTCAGTGACTTATCTAAGATTACACAGCCATGTTCCAGTCAGCATTTGAACCCAGGGCTTCTAACTTCAAATCCTATATTCTTTTCATTATATCATGCAATACTACAGCTCTCCTCTCTGCAGGTTTTGCCTTTATTAAAAATAGAACACTTTTGGGCTGGCTGAGTGGCTCAGTTGGTTAAGAGCTCGCTCAAGAGCTTGAGCTCTGAGCTACAGCAGTTCGATTCCCGGCCCGAGCTGAGCAGCCGCTGAGCTGCCAACAGGATGGCTCAGCTTAAAAAAATAATAATAAAATAAAATAAAATAAAAATAGAACACTTTTTAATACTTTTGTATTTTCTATAGCAAGTGTCAAGAAACCACAGCCACGGGCCAAATCCAATGCACTGCCTTTTTTATAAATAAAGGTTTATTGAAACACAGCCACACAAATGCATTTGCTTATTGTCTAGCTGCTTTCATGCTACAGCAGCAAAGTTGGGTATCTGCAACAGAGACACATGACCTGCAAAGCGTAAAATACTACCTGATCCTTTGCAGAAAAAGTTCACCAACCCTTGTTCCTTGGCAATGGTTCTCAGCACTGACTGCAAACAAGGTTTAACTGGAGAGTTCTTTTTTTTGTTTGTTTTTTCTTTTTTAACTACCAGTGCAATGCTGGCCCACCCTAGATGAACAAAACCCAAATCTCTGGGGATTAAAAAGGGTCAGTTTTTTAAAAGCTTCCCAGATGATTTTAATATGCAGCCAAGGTCAAGAACTTGGTATCAAGCAGACTCAGCAAGTACTAGTTTTCACAAAATGTGCTTGAGGGTGAGAGAAAAAACACCACCATAAAGAAGGTGAAAAGACAACTAAATGGGAGAAAATATTTGCAAATCATACCTCATAAGGAACATGTATCCAGAATGTGTGTGTGTGTGTGTGTATCTTACAAGTCAACAAAAAGACAAATCAACTTAAAAATAGGCAAAGGATTTGAACAGATACTTCTCCAGTGAAGATATACAAATGGCCAACAAGCCCATAAGAAGACGCTCAGCAGTCGCCAAGAAAATGCCATCAAAACCACCATGAGCTACCACTTACATCCACTAGATGGCCGCAGTGAAAAAGACAGGTTTGGGCAAGAAAGTGGAGACACTGGAATCCCCGTCCATTGATTGCTATTGTGACTGTAAAATGGAACAGTTGTTTTTGAAAACAGTTGGGCAGTTCCTCAAAAAGTTAACCATAGAGTTATCATGTGACCCAGGAATTCCACTCCTAGGTACGTCCCCAAGAAAAGTGGAATGTGTTTACACAAAAACTTGTACACCGATGTTCAAAGCAATATTATACGTAATAGCCAAAATGTGGAAACAACCCAAATTGTGGTATACCCATGAAGTAAAGTATTATTCAGCCATAAAAAGGGAGTACCGAAACATGCTATACCTTGGGAGACACGATGTAGATTAATGGTGTCCAGGGGCTGGGAGGCAGAGGAGGAAGGAAGGACTACCGATGGGTGTGGGGTTTATCTGGGGGGTAATGAAAACATTCAGGAATTAGTGGTGATGGTTGCACAACCTTGTGAGTATACAAAAAGCCACTGAATTGTACACCTTAGAATAGTGAATTTTACGATACGTGATTTGGATCTCAATAAAAAATGTTAATACAGTGAAAAGTGGGGGGAAAAAAGGATGCTGGCTATTGTTATTGCCAAGAGTAATAATAAATCATCCTTCGTCTCTGCTCCAAGGCTTTCATGGTCGATCAACACCCCTGAAACTGCCGCAGGCTAAGTTGTCGGTTTGCAAGCAGAGTCAAGACACAGTTCTTGATGGGGCATTAGTGTCATCACCAGAAATTCCCATTTCGAATCCTCCTCCACTAGCTCAAGTCTCTTTTACGAGGCTGGTCTGAGTTTGTAGGTTGATCAAGAGCATTGTGGCGAAGGCGGCTTCTTTCCTGTGAGGGGACGAGGACCCAAGGTCCCCCCCACCAGTGTGTGGGCAGTGTGGCTGGGCATGCCCAGTGCTGCATGTTGAAAGAGGGTCTAGGGAGAGAGGTGGCAGAGCCTCTCAGAACCTTGCCTACCCCCTGGGCTCTGCAGGAACTGCCCACAGAGGCTCCTGGCCCCATTTCACAGGAAGTAAGGGGTTGTACCAGCCTGCCAAGAAGGGGAGGGAAATCAGGTGCCAAGAGTCCCCTAGCCCATCCCTTTGATTGAATAGGATTTCACTTATTGGGTCAAAATGAATTATTTCATTCTGCACTCCAATCCCATTTTCTTCTCTCTTTGTCAGATAAAAACATAATAGGTTGGGGTGGCCAGTTAGCTCAGTTGGTTAGAGCGCAGTGCTCGTAACATCAAGGTTGCTGGTTCGATCCCCTCATGGGCCACTGAGCTGCGCCCTCCACAGCTAGAATGAAGACAAATACTTGACTTGGAGCTGCTGGGTCCTGGAGAAACACACTGTTCCCCAATAAAATCCTTTCAAAGTGTTCTAAAAAAAACCATAATAATGAGTTGGCCAAGTGGCTCATTGGTTGAGTTGGCTTGGGACGCCAGCTCTGAGCAGCAGGGCCGCCGGTTCGGATATCACATGTGGGCCAGTGACGCTGCACCTTCTATAGCTAAGATGGTGAACAACAGCTTGATCTGGAGCTGGGCTGCCGTGAGGCTACGGCGACGGTGTAGGCTGCAGTGGGGCTGC